TGTGGTTGTCCAGCAATGTCAAAGGTCCTGTCGGAGGCCAACCGTGGTCCATTCAAAAACGCCTCTGGCAAATTCTTCACAATGTTAACATTCTCCCAAAGTCTCGGCATTTACTTACAATGGATGAAGGTGTTCAACTAGGCTATTCTGTGCAAAGCAGAACCTGATTTGCCAGCGTATGGTCAGTCAGCTAGTCAGTGTAATCGTGACACGGCCCCACGCTGCACCCTCATAATCCCATAGAGACCTCCTGTTATAGCTGTCAGTCATCAGCATATAATCTGACCAGCAGCCACTGAGTGATTGGGCTTGAGAACAGAGAATTGATGAGTTCAAGGAGATTCATACGTCATAAACAAGGGTAATAGTAAAGTCTGAAATTATCATTTTTAAATGTTAAATGCATGTTTATTTATTTCAATAACAGTTTGTTTGCATGTTAGAGAAAATTAGAATCAGAAAGAGAGAACATGCACTGGTTGCTTTTGTGGTGATGGTAGTTAAAGGAGCCTGGGAGCAAGGTTCTGGGCCATGTAATAAATTAACGTCTGACCCTTATCTTTGTGTGGCCCTTCGGAAGGCCTGTGGAAGGCCCCAACCCGGGCCCCAGTGAGAACGGGGCCCTGCGAAGAGGCTCTTTCATGGGTGTCACCGTGCGATGAATTGGCCCGGAGAAAGCATGTTTATAGACTGAGCAAAGGAGTGCGTCTTTGTGGGGAAATGTCACTGACACTGGTACAGTTTGCCTGAATGGACTATGATGATGAGGCTAATGGAGGGGCCCCACCAAGGGTGAGGGTCAGCAAATTGGGAGGGGGTTTGGAGGGAGGCACCCCTTAGCTCTGGACCCCCCACCTTCAAGCTCCTTTCATGCCTAGTAGCTGTAGCTAATGTTGCAATTCTTCGATCCTCCACAATGGCCAAGGAAAAAAGTCAACTTTCACAGTGGCGGCTCACCATGAGTGCTTTAGGAAATGATCGTGTAAACAGAGTGTTACCTTCTGACCTGTGGCTGAAACCTCGCAACCGCAGACAAAACAGCCAGCCTGTATTAGACATGCCTGTTAGCGAGAGAAAGACAGCAAGCTGTGGAGAAACATTCACTTATGACTGTTTCCTTCCTTGACCCATTTACTTATCGGTCTTTTCTTTTCCACTCCTGGTCTCAGTAGACAAATTCAGACGTTTTGCTCTGTTTTTAAAGGATCAGATGAAACTCTCTTCTCACCCGAGGCGTGTTTGAGTTCCCACAGTTATAAGAACGTCTTATTAGCCGTGTTACTGCTCTCTACTTGGCTTGGCTGGATAAAGTGTTTCTATACAGCTCAGTCTCTTAGCACCAGCATGTCGCGTCGTAAACGACACCAGTCCGAGTTAATTAATGAGCTGCAGGACACTCAAACACTCACAATCCCTCAGTATTACTGTGGTAATAGAGCATTCTCAGTCAGTAAGCTTTAATTTTGTGGTTGCAGAAAATGTTTTACTGATGAGTCATGAAGGTGCTGACTTTAAAATAATAACTAAAACATTTTGTCTCTAAATATCACGTTTTTGTTCTGTTTAGGATTTTCATTTTGACTGATGTTTGGAATTATTTTTGAATTCAAAGTAAAAAACAACCACATTATTTCCTAAAACAAAAATAAACAATCAATATATCAGTTGGTAAAACTATTACTTCAAATTTGTAAAAAAAAAAAAAAAAAGTAAATAAATAAAATTGATCCCTCGTTAAAATGTTTATAAAGATGAAACTAAATTGGTTTCAAGAAATTATTAGTGTTGCAGAGTTAAGTGTTGTAAAGTTGTTGATTTTGTTCCCAGTAAGTTTGTTATTAAAGAACAAGCGTCTACATCAATAAATAGATAAGTAAATAAGAAAAGTTATGTGATGTGATGAAAATAAAACATTTGAATAAATAAATGAATGAATAGAAAATTAAATAAATAAATATAATTAAAGAAAAAATATGTAAATGAGGAAATTGTAAAACAAATGAAAAGTGATTAGATAAAAGGAAGTTTTCTCAGTTTTTATTGAACTGGTTAAAGGAAATAAAGAAAATAACCAGATTCTGCTTAATCCGATGCAATATCAAACTGAAAGAGTTTATTTTTTTTTCCTTTTTCTGTGAAACCTTTTCGCACCTCCTTGTCGCCCCCGTCGGGCTTTACGACAGCCGGCCAGACTGAGACCCACCGCCGTGAAAGGCTTTCTCCTCTCTTTACGGCCTCATAAATATATTGTTATCTGCGCCTGGGAAGTCAACGGCGAGATTTATTCGCACGATTAGCAGAGATAGTGAGCCAAGCATCCTGACTCATTAATTAAACAAGAGCGAGCTCTACATCCACCTTAATTTCCAATCTCTGCTCAGGAGAAGAGCCACTTTTAAGTAGGCGATGAGGTATAGGAGTTCATTATATGTCGCTTAGGTGCATTTTTTAATTTTATTATGTATTTTTAAAGCGCTGGGATGCTGGCACTCCGATGAAGTTGCATGGATGAGGAGGAAGATTTACGCACTGGGAATCTTCTGACATTGTACTGAAATAGTAAAAAGAAATCTGCTTCTTTAAAACTTTATGTAAGTGACATAATTGGAACACCAAGCTCTTCCAACGATCCAATATCATATGTTTGGTTTGAAACAGAAATGACAATATAACAGAATTCCAAATGTAATGACATTAAATGCAGGGGAAAACTTTATAAGATGATAATTCCTTAAATCTAAATTCCTAGCGTTTTTGTTTTGCTATTCCGAGCATTAGAGCCGACCCGAACGGAGTCGTGTTAGTTCGCCATCCCTTTGATCAGCTCAGCAAAGTGAATTTTCTGTCGTTCAAAGCAGCATGGAAGATTATTAATTTAGAGTCAGCTGCTAATGAACTGTCCTGCATGATCACTCAAGACGCCTTGCAGGGATGGGAAATCCACCGCAGACAAATCCCAGGGGACGAAGGAACTTGTTGCTGAACACGAAGGCCCCTGAGCTGTTTCAGAACTAGATTATCGGAATAAAATTACACAGACGTGGGGTTTAATCTCACTCTTAATGGGCGAATAATTTGTTTCTTTCCTCAAGATTTGGATTTATAGTATAATTAAGTTTTGATTCTCCTTCAGACAAAAAAGAGCTATAAACATGCAGGAAATTACCAAAACAAAACCCCCAAAAAAACATGGGATTATAATTTGTGGTTTGAATCTTGGTAATAATTTTTAAAATGCATTGGAATAAATGTTTAGTTTTTTTATTGCAGTAGCATGATCTGACATTCCCACATCAAAAAATGTGGAAAGATTCCAACTTTGATTTCATTTACTTAATAAGTGCAGAAAAAATGTCATAATCAGTTATAAATATTTCTAGTAACGCCACAGTTAAAGACCCCTCTGGTGTCAGAACGTGTTCATCCCTCTTCAGTCAATATTATACGCATTATATTTTCTGTAACATGTTGAAATGTCGAAAGACACAGTGACAAACCGTTTCCGACAGAGGGCGTTAGGATTTTGTAAGACATGTCCTGATATTTCAGATGGTTCGTAATGCTGTGCAGGTTTTGAAATATAAAGAGACCCACAGCATCACTGCCCCTCCACCATGCTTTACAGTTCCTGTCAGTCTCCACATCAACCTGATCGGCTTGATCGACACATTTTTTGAAGAGTTTATCAATCACCGTCACGTCACTTATAAACAGCTGGTTTGCCTCTGGCTAGAGTCAATTGGTTGTTTCATGGTGATGCCCAGGATGTTGTTCTTTGCTGTAGTTAGCTTTCCTCCAGCTCCATTTCTCTTATAACCTTTTTGACTCATCCCTTCTTCTTTATTTGATTCAGTTTGTTGGATCCATCTCAATGTTGCAGTAGCTCTTTTGAACTGGAGTCAGGCACCTCTGGCTTGCCTTTTTTTTCTGTTTTCCTGTCTGAATCTCCTTGAAGGTTGTTGATGTTAGTAATTTTCCTAATTGTAGATGTTGGCATGTTGAGGTGATGAGCTATTTTCCTGTCATTTCCTGACTTCTGAAGATGTTTTTTCACTTTTTCCACAATGAATGATGGAGTAACAGAAATCATCTCTCAAATCTGTTTATAAAAATAAAACAATAACTATATTGTTCATTAAAAATGTGTTGCAAATGGAATGAGGTGACCATGGTTAATTTGTAGCTTTTGGGAGAAATGGGAGAATAATGGCAGAAAATGTGTGTCTAATTTAAAGTGAATGATGAAATATGCAAAGTTTGAAAACGTTACTTTACATTTATTATTACTTCAGCAAAATTCCTCATTTATAGGTAAACCATTGCTACATGTTAATGTTTCCTCTGTTCTGATTATTTTCCTCCTTGTTGACAAGAGATGGAAACAACATGAAACATTTTTTGATGTTTTGCTCTGTCGATTTTCTTTTTGAATTGATTTTTAAACAGCTGATGTTATTGCAGGTGAAGAGTGTTGATTGTGTGTTTGTTTCCACCAGGTGGGAACAGAATAAAAAATAAAAAATAACATTTTTAATTTTATTTGTGGTACTAGTGATTCTGTAAAAGGAATGTGATTTTTTTTTCTTCACTAAATAACATCTCTCAAAGTCAAATTTTGAGTTTTGTACTTAGATTTTATTTAATTTTTTTAGTTCTGCTTCTACATTAAAGGACTTGTTTGTTTTTACAGTGTACCAATATGAGTGGAGGAGACTTAACATCACTGTCTCATGATTTTTGTAATTAGATGCAAATCAGCAAATGTTTTTAAAGATTGCAAGACATTTTTAGAATAAATAAGTAAAAAAAAACACTAACCCCTTAAATGAAGTTGTTGAGTCCACCAGGTGGTGCTGTAAGCCTCATGATCTGAATCCCCCTCCAATTAAAAGTCTCCAACAATTAATACTGATGGCTGTGAAGTTGCTTTGCTTGTTCAGTTTTTTTTCCAAGAGCATTTCTTTCGATTAATTTGTTGCTGGATTTTATTTTTTTTGCAGGCTCTCAGACGAGAAGTACAAGAAGGTGCCATTCTTCCTCTTCGGGGACTTTAACTTCAGGTTGGACGCCAAGCCACTGTTTGAGGTTAGTGTCCTTTTTGTAATACATGCGTGTTTTAAAGGCAACAGCAAACACTGCCAGCTTCATGTTGATGTAGAGCGCTTGTGTGTACTACAGGGCAACTGCAATATAGTAAAAGTGGTTTTAGTTGTGCGCGGTCGGCTCAGAGTTATGAGTCATTAAACACCTCCCCGTTGCAGCCTGAGCTGTGTTTGCCAACTCAGTCTCCAAGTGTATTGTTCTGTTATGGTGCCATTTACTCCTCCTCCTTTCCCTTCTCCTCTCGTTGCAAATGAGGCCACTGAGAACTGAAGCAGTGCAGTTAGTCTGCATCGTCCATGAGAAGATGGCGGAGGGTGGGACAGGTCATATAAACCCACCGCAGACAGAGATATGTCCAATGATAACAGAGTGGGAAAGACACTCTTTTCCACCACAATGGTCCTGGAATCAGTGGGACTGGTGAAGGTGTAGGCTTCAACTAGAACCTCCATTCAGAGGAGCGGGAAGCTCCCTCAATGGAGGAATCAAATGCTCAAATGACTTAGGAAGCACTTTAGCAAAGAGTAAGCTTTCTGCAGTTTGTCATCTGCCCACTACGGCAGTGGTTCCCAAAGATTTTCTGGGTCTCTCCTATGGATTATAATAAAATCTCCCCCCAAAAAGAAAAAAAATCAACTGGGCACACACACCATTCAGCCAACCTATACACATCTTTTGTTTTCAAACTCCACTGAAGTTTATTTCACACTTGAAGTTGGAACAAAACACACTACAAACCATCTTTACAGTGACACACTTTTATGTAGCTGTTTCTTTTTCATTCATCCATACTGCTTCCCGCGCCCCCCACCGCACCACCCAGGGGCCGCGCCCCACACTTTGGGAACCACTGCTCTCGGGGATGACCGAGGCGTTCCTCGTTCACGTGTTTTTCACTCCATCAGGGGGCATTGATTCATCGCCTCGGAGTTAGTGCAGAATATTGGATTTTGGGATTGTAATCGGATTACATGGACCTGCTGGTCATATGAACGTGTGTTGCTTTGGAGGTAATAAATGCAGGAACGCTCTCTGCTGCTGCAGATGGGAAAAACACTGAGGCTATTCAGTAGCAGGAGTCTGCAGTTGCATGTCACCCGGCGCACATTTAGGTTGCCACATTGACGTTATTACCCTGATATCTTATCAGGGCTCTTCAGGATAAAGGATGCCAGGTTCACAGCTTTAAAATCTACAAAAAGCAGATATTTTTATGGTTTCTGGATGGAGGTGCAGAAGAAAAATCTGTTCTGTGGAGAATCTCAATTCCCAGTCCTGGCGATTCTGAATCGACTTTGGTCTGCTTAATTTTTTTGTAAAATAATATTTTGAATAATATTTTTTTTATTATAGAAAGACCTGGCAGGTAAACTAACTTAGTGCTGGTAACTTGAGCTACAGTATTTTATGCACAAACAGATTTTTGTCATGTAATTCAAGCAAAAATATTTAGACTGTTTTGAATAGAAAAATTTGTTTCTGAATTAAAAATAATTTCTGAATCAAATCATGACCCTAAAAGTCAGAGTCAAATTCAATCAGTAGACAGTGAAATATTTGCATCTCTAGTTCTGGATGAAATAAGCTCAAAAGAAAGCATTTTGTTATCCTGAAATCTTTCCTTCTCATTTTTTAAAACTTACATTAATAATTTAAATACACAGTTTGATAATTTTACTCCTCAGATTATGACTTATTTATCTTTGGTTAAAAAATAAAATCCTGGAAAAGTTGAAATTAAATATTTCGGACATCTTTTTAAGTAAATGAATTAAGTAAAAAGAAACACGCACAAAAAAAAGTAAAATATTCTTATTATCCTTTTTTTTAAAGGCTAAATGGGCATTTCAACAGGCTTAAGCAACAGGAAAATCAGCTCCTGTTTGATGGTAGAACCTGGGATGTTTTTGGTTCCTTACTTTGAAATGGGAATAACATTTGTAGAATCGTTTTAGAATTGCAAACTAAACTAAGAGAAGTAGGTTTAAGTCAGACATCCATTCAACTCACCTAACCAGACAGATCACAGCAACTCTCAGCAGATTGAGCTTCCAGGTTAGGAGTCATCACAAGGTGCTGATCAACCAGTCAGAAGAGGCTTTAGGGAACAAGTTCCTAAAGGCTCCCTGTCGGGTATAAACAACAAAAAAAGGTGCAACATTATGATCATGGAAAGATATTACCTCTTCTTCATTTTTCTAATGATGAAGAGATCATTGGTCCAATGATGAAGACTCTGGGTAGTAAGGGAATATTGTATCATCAAAGTTGATCTCTTGGAAAAAAGAAAAATTGAGGAAGTAAGAAGTTTAGTAAGTTTGATTAAGCCTAACCTGTGATGGGTACAAGGCTGGGATAGAACAACTCCAAAACTTCCTTTCCTGTGGATGTTTCACAGTGGGCAGTATCTATAAATAGCAGTCCAAGGGAGGAATAACACCCAACTGATGATTGATTACAATCAACACAAGCTTAAAAATCAGGTTGCGATTTTTATTAATTAAACAATATATAAATCCTTAAATATTGAACTGTTTTATACAGTTTGGTATTGTCTCGCTCCTCCTTTTACTGAAATATTTCATTTTTTAAAAAGTCTAAACACAAGAACTGTAACCATGAAACACCGACAACAAGGTTTGAGGTAAAGTTCCTTCAGACACTCCATTTTCCACTTTGCTAAAACACTCTGGCAGTTGATTGGAGGACAACAGCTGATGATGTCATCCGTTCAGAGGCTTCATAAACCCGTCTGATCGGCCTGTCTGATCCGAGCTGCAACCCGAGTGTTAGCGGCCAAGAGAGCTGTGATGTCACTGATAAACAAATGGGCTGGAACCTCTCCGCAGGATGTAACTCACAACTCGGAGGCCGTTCTAAGCCCTTTAATGACAATTAATGTCAACAGGACAATTAGTGCACATCCACTGAAGTGCTTAGCTGTAGATTGGCTGCTGGTGGATCGATCCGCCATACTTATCTGCAGATTGATTCAGACACGGGGAGGTTGGCCTCTCTTTCTCGGTGTCGGGGAGTCCTCTTTTTATTGCTTTATTGTCTTTGTATCTCAGTCTGGAATCATTAAAAGGCAGTAAAATATAGCTGCATCTTACTCAGTTGGAAAATAATCAAAAAGTAAATGTATTTCAGTAAATCAATTCCAGAAGTGAAGTTCATATAGACAGAATATATACAGAGTAACATAGTTACTGTTGATGATTGACGTTTTTAGTTAATAAAACCACAAATTCTTTGACAAAAAATTAACAATAAAAGTAATGTATGTATAAATATTTGGTCAGTGTTTATTTTGTATAAATTTCTGCCTCAATGCAGCAAGTACCAGGTACATTCGTTTCATTTTCATCTGGTGCAGTTTGCTTTCACACTGCTCGGGATCGAACCAAGCAAACTCTTTGAAAACCAATTCCTCACTTCGCCTGTAGTGGCGCTAAACCAAGAACCACAGAAGGAAACAACTTAAAAGCCTCTGAAGAAGACACTGAACACAACCTCTTTTTTTACAAAATGCAAACAAAAATGTAGAGCTTTGAAATTTTAGCAGTTGGAAGATTTCTTTTTTTTTGTCTTTGTTCAAAAAAACTACAAGCCATTTGTCCCGCTTGCACTAGACTCTCACGTTTGTTTTGGTTCTATTTACCCAGGATGCCTTGCAAATAGTCCACTTGGTGTTCACATGTGCATTCGAACCTCGCCAGAGTTCACTGCTAACTGAGACAGAGGCTTTCAGGCGGACCAGAGTCCGCTTTTTTGGTCTGCGTCAGACTTCAATTACACGTCTCCACAAACGAACCGGACTTTCTAGACATAAAATGCACCATAAAATATCTGTTGTGTTGACTGTGGGCAGAGACGTGTTAGTGGACCTTCCTTGTCATATTTTTTTCTTCTATTCAATGATCCAGCGATGTGCACAGATGCAGGACCTTGTCAGCAGCCCGCTTCTTTATCAATTACCAATTATGGTTCTTCTTTCTTGTGAAGGGTGTCGGTGTCAAGTGCAAAGTTTTCCTCATGATTGTGTTGGCCATAGTTCTTTAATTTAAAAAAAAAAATTGCTGTTTTTTTGAGAAGCTGAATGTTTTATTTGCATGAACCACAGTCACCACAATTAACAGGGCTAAACAACTAAAATATATAATTGCGTGCAATCAATGTAGTTATGATTCTTAGGTCAAATAAATCAATATATTAGTGATATTGAGATCTACTTACAGGAGCAAAATTGAACAGCCAGGATGATTATGCTCTTTCTATCCTACTCTACCTTTGGTTCATTGTGGTTGGCTCCACTTTGTACAACCATTATCCAGTCCTCATCTCTCCTGCATTAAGAGACGACGGATGGCTCAGGGAAATGTTTAGGTCTATTGCTGAAAAGGAGCTGGATGTGAAAGGCTGCGGGGCTGTTATTGTCAGGAGACAAATTCCAGGTGGCAAATTCCCGACATGCTTGTGCGCCGGGATCAGTAACCACAGACCTGCAGCCGCTGCCCCCCTCCCATCCAGCCCAGGCAACCCCATTAATTGTGTCTGACAGAGGGAATTGGTTTCAATTGACCCCCATTCAGCAGGCCTTTGACTGGCAGACAAAAGACACAGCCACGTGGAGACTAATGCTGGGGTTGAGCAGCCTGGAGGTGGTCCAGGCCCCACCGGCCTCCTCTTTCCTCTCCCATGGGTCTTATCATGCATCGGCTTGATCACGCTCTGCATCGCTGCTGATTAAAACAAGAACTCACAAAAGATGTCTTTTGAACATATAGTGTGAATCTGGGATGCTCTGCAGAGCACCTCCTCATGTGCATGCTTTAAAGACTCATTAAACTGTCCTGTTTGATCCAAAATTAAGCCAGTTGTTGTTGCTGGAGTAAAGACGTAAGCAAAAAGAAGTCAGATGTTTCTGATACCGGTTTTATTTGTTGTAGTTCTTTATAAGCCATTGCTTATTATAGAGGTTT